GGGGTATTGTCCTGCCTTGGGTAAAGCTTCATTGTATGATCCCAAATCTCTTTGGTTCCATGTTGTTCCATAAGCAAGTCATAATTTGTGCATCTTCCTGTTCCCAATCACTGTACTCCTGAGAGTCAACTAGGGTTTGTCTTCTCTCACATGCTTTACTTTCTTCTTAGCTCTGAGAAACACTTCAATAGATTTGGCCCAAGGCACGTAATTCTCTCCATTCAGTTTGATGGAGGTCATTTGCACATTCAAGTAATCAAGGGGAATCATAATAGACTTGTGTTCATTACTGTCTCCCATAGCTGCCAATTTTTTTTTTCTTTTCTTTCTCACACTAATATGTTACCCTAACTCACCAACAATCACCACACTGCACTCCTATAGCTGAACGATCACCACTATTTCACTCTTACGGCTGACCATTGCTGAAACATTCACTATCACAGGTTTCAGCAATGGTAATCACCAATATTCTCCACTTTCGGCACCACACAAGAAACCATCACCATAGTTTTCAAGGCGCCAAGGCAAGGCTAGGCGATAGGGGGGCGCCTCGCCTAGACGATGGATTTTTTTATGTAGTAAATATAGATCCTAGGGTAGTTCCCTTGGTACCATAACCATATTTCCTTAATAATTATTCATAATTTTCATAAGAAAAATATAGAGTTCATGTTAAATTATAGAAAATCAACAAATTCAAAAAATTCAAAAGAAGGAAAAGAAAATTCAAAAAAATAAAGAATAAAAAAGTATTTTATAGACCACCTATCTGTACCACACATCTAAACATAGACCACGAAACTATTGTAGCAACCCTCTTCAGTCCAGCCATCTGAAACCACCACACCACAATCAATCGGAGGCATTAAAACCTCCAAAACCTCCAGAAGTAAAAAACGACCACTCCTTTTCAGCCTTTTTCGTCAAACTCCAAGAAACCTAAGAGAAATCTGCAAAATACTCAACTAGGGTGCGCATGAGACTATACACATCTGAACTGATCTAACCTTGCTCTGATACCGTGATAAGTTCAGATCTATATACCCATTAGTTTTAGAATAATAGAGAAGAAAAGATAAAAGCGAGAGGGAGAGAGGAGAGAGGAAGAGATGAGAAGAGTGAAGAGAGGGAGACTTAAACAATTTTGGAAACAAAACCTCAATGAAATGAAAGAAAGATGGCCCAAACAATTGTGCCAGAGAATAATTTGACTCACTGACTCTGATCCACTACTACTGCTGTTACTAACATGATGGCTTTGATGTCTCGTAATCTCATCCGGAAGGTAGACTCCATTCACCTCTCGATCACTCCCACTCGTCCTCTTTGATTCTAGATCCTGCAAAACACAATTACCAGGAAGAAAGGTCACTGAGCAGTTCAATTTTTTTATCAAGGAGCTTACTGAAAGACGATTAGTGTGGAGTTTAGGGACATGTAAGACAAGATAAAGTAATGTCATTAGTCACTCTAACTGTCCCTTTCCTAGCAATGGGAATATGGGAACCATCTGTAGTAAAGACTCTATCTCTACCAGAGCACAACTGGTAAGAACTAAAGAGGGTAGATATATTGGTCATGTGCTTAGATTCTCCTGAGTCTATAATCCAGGGAGGTACCTCCTTACCTGAGGTGGATACATGATTTGCAACTGCATATGAACTACCTATGGACTCTAGATCAGCATRGGAGAGGGGCCTTGAAGGGTCTCCTGTAATTGTCACATTTGCATTTCCCTTCTTGTTCTTGATTTGAGTTGGTACGAGATGAGGGTAAAGCTTCCAACAAGTGTCTCTAGTATGTTTAGTCTTCTTGCGATAGTCACACACCAAGGCCTTGTCCTCCTTCCTAGCCTCACTACTCCCCCTATCTCCATTTGGCTTAGATTTAACTGTACTAACCATAGATGACTGCTCAATCCTAGGCTGTCTCAACATGACATTCCTCCTGCTCTCCTCCCCATAGAAAAAGGCATAAGCTTGAGAAAGAGTCACACCTTCTCTAGAAAGGAGATGTTGCCTAGCAATGTCGAATTTAGGGTTCAACCCAATCAAGAACTCAAAAATTCTATTATTTTCTACCAACCCCTGATAGGTTGTTGCATCCTTCATAATCTCCCAAAGCACAGTTTCTAAGTGGTCGATCTCCTGCCAAAGAGTTTTCAGCATGGAGAAATAGGAGGCAAGAGGTCTATCTCCCTGTTTTGAACTAATCACCTGATTCCTTAACTAACAGGCTCTAACTACATTTTGTTTCTGGGAATAGGTTTCAGTCACTCCATCCCAAATCACCTTTACTGTATTAGCCCACAAAAAAATTTTACCAATGTGAGGTAACATAGAGTTACACATCTAGGTCATCACCATGTAATTCTCCTGTACCCATCGGGAGGGATCTGTATCAGGTTTCTTCTCCTCCCTAGTGATGTACCCCAGTTTTCCACAAGCACCAATGGCCATCTTGGCTGATTGTGCCCATTCTAGATAAATTGTACCACCAAACTTCACTGTAGTAATAATTCCAAACCCAAAAATATCACTACTACCTCCCATGTTATTGGTGGACTTCTGCTCGGTACTCAACTCTCTATTTACTTCAAACAATTCAAAAGCAACAAATAATTAGGTAGAGAGCCTCCAAGATCAAATTGATCTCACACATCCGAAGAAGAAAACCCTATCTGGAGAGAAATCTCTCTCCCACTGTCTCCTACCAGAGAGAAGTGAATCGGCCACTCCAGAAGGTCCAGAAAATTCCAGAAACCTAACCCTCCTCTATGGAATACCTAGAGAAGTCCAACAATACCTGAGCACCTAGGATCAGATCAAAATTGAAGTGTCCAACTTGACTAGGACTCCTCCCTGCACTCTAGTTCTTCCTGATTTTGATGCCAAAACATAGATCACCCTCCTGATGACTAGATCACACAAAAAAATCCAAGAATTGGGCAATCTGAAGTAGATCGATCAGCCCTTTATCTCCTCATGCAATCTGCTGATCTAGGACTGCATGGAAAAAACATAAAAAAACCCTAGCCAAGCTCTGATACTAAGTAGAAAGGTGTTGTAATAAAAAACTGCAAAAGAAAAGAATATTTCTTGAAGAAGAGAAGAAAGGACCAAATGCTGGCCACCCTCTTCACTATTATTTATAGTCTAAAATATTAAAGAGTACAAAGACCAATATGCCCTTATAGGGCGGCTAACACATAAAACAGCATAAAACAATAAAAATAACTGCTAAAAAAGGACCCAACAAGAGTGTTGTGGTCCCCACTTCCTATCTAAACAATAAATAATAAAAAACTACCACTATAGACTACACAATTTGTCTAAAACCTCAACACTTTTTATATTGAAGTACTATCTATTCTGTCATGCCATAGTAAACAAGGGAAATAGTGATTTCTGTGTTACAACTGCAAGAGTTGATTGTTTTCAAGGTGTGGAAAGTAGACTATTATAATGTTAAAAATGACAAAAGAAGCCAATCCTTACGTTTAACCTCAAAAGCGTTGATACTTAATTATTATGCTTAGAACTTGTTATTCTGCAACATGTATTTGGCATCTCATAAACAAGGGTGGGATGTTTGAAATTCGAATATTGAAAATCGAGGGTGGTAGCCTGCCTGTATGGAGAGCTTTAGTCAAACATTTTGAGTTCTACCTTTTTCCCTTGGTTGTTTATAGCATTGCATTATTTTCATGTATAATGAATCAATGTGAACTAGCTACTTTAATATATTCTTGAAATCTTGTTTTATTTTGACTTGCATATTTTAAGGAAAGTCTTTCAGTGTCATTTCAAAAAAAGGAAGAGAGAAAGAAAATATTTATTAATTGTGTCCACAAGTGGTTCTATCTAATGAATTGTGCAATTGGTATCCATTTCTACCTTGTTATCTTTCCTTTTTTGTTATTTTTATTTTGTTTGGTTTCTATTTTATTCAGAGTTCCTTCTTCTGGTGGTCTCTTTTCCCTTCTTCTCTAGGTGTCAACTATATGGGGTCGGGCTACTACCCATGTCCTTTTTGGTCTATCCCTAGTCCTCTGTTAAATTATTAGTGTTTAAATCATTTCTTTCTACTACCCATATCCTTTTTGCTCTACCCCTAGTCCTTCTAGCCCCTTCAACTTGTAACAAATTAGTTCTAACCGGTGCTGTTGTCGGTATTCTATGCACGTGACCAAACCATCTTAATCTATTTTCTCATTTTATCACCTATTGGTGACTTCATTCCTGATCCTATCCTTTCTAGATTTTCTGCTCATCCATCTTAGCATTCATATTTCTGCCACACATTTTCTAGACATGTTTCTTGACTGTTCAAGACTCTGCTCCATACAACATAGCTGGCCTTGCAACTATTTTATTGATTTTCCTTTTTGTCTAAGTGGTATTCACCTATCACATAAAAGTCTAGATACATGCCTCCATTTTGCCCATCATACTTCTAATTCTTTGGGTGATATCCTCCTCAATATCTCTCTTATTATGAATTGTTGAATCAAGATACTGGAAATAGTCGCATTGAGTTAACTCTTGGTCCAATCCTAAGTGTATCCTGATTTACACTCCTATTGGTACTAAAATTACTTGTTATATACTGTATTTTATTCCTACTTATTTTAAAACCTCTCGTTTGGAAGGCATTTGTTTATAAACTTAATTTTGCATTTAATCTTTCATTAGTTTCATCAAATAAAACAATGTCGTCCGCAAACTACATGCATCAAGGTTCAGCACTTGGCCCTTGTGTATTTGTGTTGATCATAGATGAATTGACTAAACATATTCAGGAAGTTCAATGCCTTGCTATTTTTCTATTCGATAGTTGTTTGCTTGTTGTGTTTTGAATTAATATTCATTTGTTTGCTGACTTTGCTCTATATAAATTCTAAGCTGTTGTCTGCAAAGTGCAAACAGACAGTTATATAAAGATTACAATGGCGACTCAATGTGTTTTAATACTTTCTTTTGTTATCATTTGTATAGGAAGGTGCAGGTCCAAATATTGGTTCCTTTGGGATAACTCCCTTGGGAATTGCAGCTTCTGAAGGGGAAACTGAAATGATCAAATGTTTATTGAAAGGAGGAGCTGATCCAAATATTCCCAATTTTGTGAGGCTATTTCACGTTTTTTATTCCTTTTATTTTGGTTTAGTCATATTCTTAATTACCAAAAAAAAATCCTATTTTGCATTTCCTCCCTTTGTTCCTTCTTCTGCATGCACTTGCACTCTATTTATTGAAGTTTGTTCCTTCAACTGGATGTATTATATTTTTATGATGCCTCAAAGTGCTACTGCCCTTTCTCTTTTAATTATTTACTAAAGAATTTTGTGGAGGACTTTATTACACCAAATTGTATATGATATTATGTTTGAGATGATTTACGCTTATTTGTTTTCAAATCAAGTATGTAGTTACACATTGGATAAAATCATACAGAATAGGGAGTATTACTAAGATAACAAACTCAGAAACTGATTATAAATCTTTTTCATTGCTCATACATAACTCGCATGCTGGTTATAATTTTATGATTCAGGAAACCATCTTCTAAGCAAATTGAAACACCAAAATGTTCTCATTTAAAGAAATAGAAGACTTCAAAAGTTTTAAATTAGATCATGTCATAATCTTCTACCTTTTTGATTAGCACCATTGTCTGTACCTTTGAATTGTACGGTTTATTCTTCATTTGCCAATGAAGACTCATCCAAATCGCATGATGTTGGCCTTGTTGGTAGGAACTGAATAAGCTTCCAAATGTGCCAACACTTYTGAACATGGCAAATTGGCATCAACAGAAATGATGGAATTTTGTTTTGTCTTGATCTACATTTCATACTTTTGGTTGATCCTTACATCCTTTGGCTGCATAATGTGTCATTAACCCATGATCTACTCACTATTTGAATAAGTTAACAATCTAAAGAAAGAATTTGAATAGGTTCATCACAAGGACATGCAATTGAAAACCTTAACGAGATGACAATCAACTCTTCTCATGATGATTCTTGATATAACTTATAAGCACATTACAAGTTGCCTTTGTGAAGTGGTTGAAGATGTTGTTATGTCTATTATTTCTGATATGATTTTACTTTAGTRAACATCACATGTATTCCAAATATTGCATTTTAATTGCATACATTATATTGTGTTACAAATTGGGATCTGTATTGGTGCCAGATAAGATGTCAGGTTTAATTCCATATCCACCTTGCTATGTGTCTTTCATATTTGGGCTACATGAATGTGAACATGGTATTTATACAAGTTGTTGCAACTTTGCTTCATTTCTCAGTGTTATAGCACTTCACTTAAATAGCAATCAATGGGCATACATGTTTTAGGGTTTGCTTTGTCCTATTTTTCTTTGTATATGCCACACACAAAGCCTGCATAGTTTTTTTTTGGTACTTCATTTATTGACTCACATTAAAATTGTCCGCTGAATCGTTTTCAATCGTAAAAAGCAAGTTTTCTTAAGATTGTGTATAATCGTTTCCATAATAAAACCTACTCCTGTAATATATACTACATTTCTAGCATATAAACGTGAATGCAAGTGAATGTAACTTGTTTTTTCTAATGAAAAAGGTCTTCCTAATAGGGTCATGCAGCGAGTTTGGCCTATCTTATTTCCACAACTTCCATTGAGTGAGGGATCCTATGAAGTGACCACTTGTTCAAACCTCTAGTCTACATTAGTCCTATATCCCACCTAATATTGATGGGTTTCCCAATCAATATTGGCTATTGAGTGTATTAATTGTATTAGAAAGCTTTGTTGTAGAGATTGGCTTAAATTGAATTACTGGCAAGTTCTTGTATGCCAAAATTTGTGCCATTAATACTGGGCCATGGAAGTTTTCTTAGATCATTTATGGAGCTTCCTTGAATAACTTTGCTATCAAACCCATTCCTTGTGTAGTATATACATCCAGTAGCATGAAAAAGTAGCAAAACATATATGTCATAGCTTGCCCATATATTCTATTAACTCTAAATGGCAAAGGCAAACACTAGAATCTCTTTCTACTAATTCTAGGAAGTACATGTTACATTTGTTGACTGTCCATTTTGTACTGTTTGCAAGGTTACCAAAGCAGTGCAATTTATGTACAATGTTGTCGAACAGTTTTAGTATTATAGATAGTTTTATCTATGAGATGTGATGGCTTGAGTATGTTGTTGTAATGCTTTTATTTATGTTTTTTGTCTGTTTGGTGTTCCTTCTTGAAAGAATGATGATACTGGAATACTTCTATCATGCATATTAAATATAGGGTATTATGACAGTTACTGAGGCAAACAATGTTCTATCTGATTTCTGATTGTAACTGCTTTCTGATACAGTATGGTCTGAAGCCTATAGAGGTTTCTGCACTAAATGGCAATTATGAAGATGTCATGATTCTTTTTCCTAAAACTTCACCCATTCAAGCTATTTCTCACTGGAGCCCTGCTGGAATAATTAGGCATATGCACTCTGAAGAAGCCAGGCAAAAGGTATTCAAAATTTCGTTTAATCTGTTGGCATGAAAAAGTTCCTTTACTTTCAAGGTGATGAATTGTAGTTACTAGTTAGACACGATTGCTCATTTCATGGCCTGTGATTTCTATGTGAATACATGGTAATGATTGAACTAATTCATGACTATTTGTTCTCTTCAAAATTTGTGACAGAGAAATCTTCAGTTAAAAGAGAAATTTATGGAGTTAAAAGCAAAGGGAGAGGATGCATTCAAGAGAAAGGAGTATCTAATGGCAATAAGGTGGTACACAGAGGTAACTTTTCTTTAACCACTTTGACACTTATCATGTGGGTGAAACCTGCAATTCTAAATGCTTGTTGAATGAGATTTTAAAGGCTAAAATGTACATGATCCATCTATTTATTTGCATGCATGTATTATGGCGATTCAACTTTGGCAAGGATTTTGGAATGCATGCATGCAATTCCAAATCCTTGTGATTATTGTTGGTTCTATGTGGTTTGATTTGTGGTTTCCTGTTAGAGTGTGATGGGTAAATAACTTGACCTTATGATTGATTTGCGTAATGTGTGTGCCATGATAGTAAGGAAAAGATGTCCTGGGTTTTGTGTTCCTTTGGTCAAAGTGAATAGTGGTATGCTCAGTTACTGTTTTTCTTTTTTCATTAGGGCAAATTTCTTAAACTACCCCTACTATTTAGTTAATTGACAAACTGTACTCTTGCTGTTTAATTATTATTTTAGAGTACCCCTAAGTTTTCTGACAATTGTCTAAAACCTTGCCATTAACATTGTTAACAGAATGACGAAAAGACTATTTTACCCATTATTTTCTTTTAAATTTTCACAATGAAACATGAAAAAAGGGAAAGTGGTTTCATCGCTGGTGGACAACTGGAAACGAAGGATGGACCTGATATCAGTAATCAAGTTGATGGAATTTGGATCTGCTAAAGCATCCTTCGTTCTTGATTCCCAGCATTTCTATTATATCACGCTTCGCCTGGGTCACCATTTTAACGGCTGCTTTGTCGGAGTTAATGCTGTCTGAGTCATTGGAGAAGACAAGGCGATTTCTATTAGTGGGTGTTGCTTGGAAGGTACATGCGTGTAGATATGCCGGTTTCTGGTGGGGCAACAAAATAGGGATTGAGAGATGGGGGAACAAAACAGGGCCGACTCTGATATGACGAGTAATACTACCCCGAATCTGATCTGATGGAATGATGGTGGCAAGGACGCCCGTGATGGGGACGGTGAAGTTTCCATGATGAGCCTTTGCTGAATGGCCTCCAGTGTAGCACGGACTTCTATTAGGTCCTTCACTACCGAGTAATACCAGTCTTTCAACTAGAAGATGTCTCTTCCTACCCTCGTCGATGTCTCTTCCTCCACTAGGAATTCAAGCAGTTCTTACCATCAACTGGAAGATGAAGATTCTCCACCGTAGCTGCTGTTTCCTCTGCCGCCGCTGCAAACTTCCAATCACCAGGCACAGTATGGCATACATGATGCTCCCTGCTGAGGCATAGGGAACGTCTTTCATGCCATCAATCTCCTCAGAAGTCTTGGGAGATATCTTCTTGGAGAGAGTGACTCCGTGCCTAAAAGGAATATTTCCTTTCTTGGAGTTTTCCATGCTGTATCTCTTGACTATTTTGTCAATGTAAGCAGATTGGGATAATCCTATTATCTGCTTCGATCTATCTCTATAGAGTCGAAGACCCAGTATATAGGAGGCTTCTCCAAGATCTTTCATGGAGAATTGCTGTGATAGCCATACTTTCACCGTA